ATATGAATTAAAACGTTTCGGTCAGAGACCTTCAGTTATTTACAACTTTTGAAATAAAGAAGAGCTTTAAATAAGATCGAAGTGCTAGTGATTACGTAATTGAAAGTGACGACTAATGAACTGGTGCTAATAAAAAGATGACAAAAACCAACCTACAAAGAAACCAATAGACAAAACACAAGAGACAAAACCCAAAAACCAAGAGACAAAAAGAATAAATACGCTAAAATGAGTGGTGCAATCGAAGAAGCAATGCGGCATGCATTAAAAAAGGGTAGACCCACTTTTAACTACAACTATAAACCGTACCAAAATCCCAAAACAAGGCCTGGCCTTTGGAGCCCGAAAGGGCAAATTAGTTCCCCTACGGGCTCGTGCAATTTTGTTAGTCTTTGAAAAGATTTACTCGGGCTTATTTATTCCAAATTGTACTCGAAATCACGTGATTACCGATACAAATAAAAAATCTAGTTAACTTTTCCTTTTCTTTCATGTTTTATCTGCACCAATCAGCTGGCCGTAAGTACCTACATCTCAGTAGATCTATTTTTGTGTCATCTCCTTGTAATATTAACAGGGGAGCGACATTAAAGTAAAGCCCTATGTAATACAACGATAGTGAGGCTGTGTGAGAAAATAGAATCAAAGTAACTGGTCAAACGTGATGTTCACTAACTTAATTTTTTTGTTTTTCATATGCATTCACAAAGCCTTTCCATAAAGACAGCTGAAATTCATAAATGTTTCAAATCAATCTGAAAGTCAAAGGAAGAAAAAAATAAAAAGAGAGGAAAAGTGTCAGCAGCAACTTTCTCCTTTCTGAAGACGACATGGATTAAATTTTATAAGGCGACAATGTGGTAGCAAGAGCATGCGAGTTGCTTGTTTGTCTGCATATTGGTTGAAACAACTTAGTAGAAGAGAATTCTGACGCAAACGCATAACCTCGGCGATAAAAATAATTGTCGACAGTTTTGATCAATATTTGACTTCAGTGCTAAGAAATATGTTTAAAATGTTTGGGTTTTTTTAGGTTTGTTTGTTCTTTCCCTTTTCTTAAATACACAGGCTCAACATTTCATGTTATTTGCACTATTGTACAGGAAAGTGTGCGAACTATGAGTTCACTTGTGCTAATGGAAAGTGTCTCACTAAATGGAAACGCTGCCGTGGAAGAAATTACTGTGGTGATGGTTCAGATGATGAGCAGTGCCGTAAGTGTGTNGTTGGGGTTGGGAATACAAGTGTTTTACCTTTTAATGTGGAGTTGATAAAAGGCAAAGAGTTAAAGGTCTAGGTGCTAACACATAGTAGCGTATAGGAATAAAACTGACAATTAAATCCAGCTCTTGGGTGCCTGGTTCGGGCATTTGAACACCATTTTGGTCCAATGGGAAGGACTTTGAACAAACCGATATTTAAAGGTTCAAATGCCCAGAGGGATTTTCAAGCTTCAAATTGACCGTCGCATTATTCATTTATCAGTTTACTTATCTTTTTTTATGTACCGGCCTAACTTTATTGTTATTCTGTGCTTTCTCTACTCATGTGCCGCCCTCGTGAAATAAACCAGCCTGTGAGTGATTTTTGATTAGACTACCAAAGTTAATCATGCACTTCTTGTCATTTGTTTCTGCTCCACTTTCAATAACATCCCTAAATACTGCAAACGTGCGTGAGTTGCATAACACAGGATAAGAGAATGAAGATGAGAATTTGACTAATACCAGTCGTTGTAAGAGAAAAATAAAAGACACATCTCGAAAACAGTTGATGAGAAAGGAGGAAAGAAGGCTATCAGATTTTAGTCCCGAATGAAGTGTGTTAGTAGTGCCTGCTGTAACTAAACTTTAGTTGAACTGAGCAATATGTTGTAATGTTTGATTTCTACCTATCCCTATCGTTTTCTTTGTTTTTCATATCGTCTATGGCGGATCAAATACCTGTTATTACATCAGGCGGTAAGCGAAAGCTTAAAAGTAAATTTTTTAAGGATAAAAATATGTTGCTATTTTTTTTTTGTTCGTTTAAGGCTACATCGACGCGCAGGCGCAGTGAAGCCATTATGTATCTTTCATTTGCCTAATCGAAAGCACAATGAATAGGTTCGTGACCTGTGTCTTTATTGAAGCTGAGAGAAGCGTGGACCACAGAAAACAGTTCTGGGTCTCTATGAGGAAACAACAAACGCTCGTGATTACAAGCCACAGAGACTTTACGTTGAGGAAGTTTCATACGTAAGAGCAGTCCCAAAACATCAGCTCCTGGCCATTTCGATAACCGCTTCCCTATTAGTCTCTGACACAAACCGGGTTAAATTTTGCAAAGCTTGCACTGCATTTTGCAAACGAACACTTAAAATGGCTTACAAGCAATGTCACTCGTTGACTTATTTTGTCCATATTCACTGAACTGCTCCTCTAAATCGGTAGAAAGATAAGTTCTATTGGCTATTTACGCATGTGCTTATGCCGTTTTGTTCCCTGTCCTCGCTGCGGTCTGGCATCTTGCGTCGAGATAGTAGTTTCCAACCCGTCTCGGTAGTACGAGACAGACTCGGACCCAATTTGTTGACGTGAAGTTTTGTTTGTTGATCTCGAAAGCATTTAGATAGTGTTGATCACGAAGCAAAAAAAAAAAATACTTTGCTGAAGTGATTTTCTCTATTGATTAAAGAGTTAATACATCGTTGAAAGTGGCAAGTTCATGGCGTTAATGTTGAGAGAAAATTGTTCAATTTGGTATCAATTTGTTGATTTTGACATAAAATATTCATTCTTGAGTTTTGCTGAAAAGTGGGAACCATAACCAGTTCCTTTCTATATCATCCTGTGTTACCTTTGATTGATGTTCATTAATCCTCAAACCATCCAGTCCAATAATCCGACAGTAAAGAAAATGTTTTTAGTCACCCGGTAGTAGTCCTTAGATCAACTCAGTTACATTAATTCGTATTTAAATTAATACATTACTCTTTCCTCGCTATAACTACGGTCTTTTTTTGTTACTTTTCCTTCCCTGGTTATGCTCGTTACAGCATGTAAGTATTGGTTTAATCTTCCATTCGAATTCCGAAAATTTTGAATTATAACAATTATTGACAATATTGATTTATGTTTTTATCATCTTTCCTTTTTCTTTTTTTTGTCTTTTTGGTTATCTTACCCGACCCTTACAATAAGGCGGTAAGTAACCATTAATATTTTAGATAAGTCTCCCATGCATTTTTTGTTTGAACATTTACATAAGTTAACATAGATAATGTATTTATCATATTTTGTATTTTCATTGGAGTTTATCAAATCTCATGCTTGTAACTTAGTGCATTATCACAATTTACAAGAATTTTGTGTGTGTTTTGTTTTGTTTTGTCGGTTTTTTTTTTGTGATAATGCGCACTTAACGCGCTTTCGGGTGTGAGGTTTATCAATATACTGGTGAACAGCGTAAGTACAATATATTTGCATACAACAGAAGGGCGCGCTCTGCACAACTAATGAGACATTTCTCTTTATTTCTGCGAGTCATAGTTCATCGTTTCCTCATTTATCATACTTTTATTTGAAATACACGATTTCAGTAACGTCATCAGAAAATGCTAAAGACCCCGTGAGTGCGGGGCTTAGCC